TAAACAAAATCAACTTGCTGTTTTCTGGCCGTTTCTGAGAGGAAGTTCACCTGGTTGTGCCTGGGGAGAGGAGGCCATTTGGGTTTTATGCTGACACTTTTGAACCAAACATCTTTTCTGCTCCACTCCACACTTTCAGAGAGTCCCAGACTTCTGAATCCTGGTACTGAAGCTAGAATTGGCGCCTTTTCGTTAGCCTACCAATTCACGGGACCAGATTTTGGTTTCTCAGCTGTTAAGTCAATTACCAACCATCTGTCCATTTTCCATATTCCAAAATTTGGCTGGAGTCTGGACCTCTGCTGGCTCCTTTGCCTTGTAGGATTTGCTTCTGATCTCTAGCTCTTTGCTGGCCTTTGGTCAGGCTGAGAGAAGGAAGGGACATAAACACGTGCTGCTCATTCAGTTTGCCTTGTCTAACCGTGTCCTCCAGTATATCAATATTTTCATTTGTGTGTTATTATGTTGCATATGCTATTAAAAATATTCACCTATAATTTTTCATCATCATTTTCTTTTTTTTTTGTTCCCTCAGTTTATTGCAATGCAGGGTAATAATTTAGAACCCAAACTTATTGTTTCTTCATAATTGTGACCTTACCATTTGCAGAACAATTGTTTTCTTTGGATTTCAATACTTCTATTATGATTTTTGTGTATGGCCTTGGGTTTGCTGGTGGGTTCTCCATTTTGTTATGTTCATTTGTTTGTCTGTTTTTATGCCGGAAGTACATACTTTAATCCAACCTGCTCTGTGACAACCACATCACTTATTTTGAGATCTCTCTCTCTTTTATTTCTTTCAGATTTGCTATCATTTTGTTATGTTTTACAAACTCTATTGTCTGGGAATTTAATTGGCAAAGTTAATGTGTAGATTACTTTTCTATCATTACAACCTCGAGGTTTGTCATTGGTAAAAATAGTATGTATTACCATTTGTTGTTTTTGTTTGTTTACTGGTTTCTGTCTTGATTTTGAGATGTAGTCTTACTATTTAGCCTTATCTGGCCAGAACTCACTATATAGATCAGGCTGGCCTTGAACTCACAAAGGTCGCCTGCCTCTGCCTCCCTCGAGTGCTAGAACTAGAATGTCAGCTTTATTTGGGTGTTTGATGGCCTTAAATTAGGTTTGGGAACTTTTAATGTGTTTAACTACATTAATTCAGGATAATGCACGCTTTTTGTTGTCGTTAAAAACAGCGTATTTTCCCATTTTAAAGTTAGAGATGGCTGGTTACCAGTGCTCTAGATTCTTGTGCACTGAATTTTGCTAAGTTCTTTTTCTCGGCTGCAGTAAGTCTGAAGATCTTGTAGTGGCTAATCTTGGTTGTCAGTTTGAAATTCTTGGGAAAAGGGAATCTCAATAGAAGAATTGCCTTCATCAGATTGACCTGAAGGCAAGTTGTGGGCATTTTCTTGGTTGTTGATTGATGTTTCCTGGTTGTACCACTGTGGGTGGTACCATTCCTAGGCAAGCCTGGGCTATATAAGCAGGGCAGCTAAGCAAGGAGATAAACAGCATTCCTTCATGATCTCCACTTCATTTCCTGTCTCCAGGTTCCTGCCCTGGCTTCCTTGTATGGTGGTCTGTAAACTCTAAATAAACCTTTTCCTCTCCAAGCTGGTCTTATTCTATGTTTTATCAAGGCAATAGAACACAAGCCAGAACAATCTCTTCCATTTTCTACACATTTAGTGCGATCATAGCAAATAGAGACATTCCCTTTCTTTTCCTGCCCCAATGGCTCAGCTCTTTCTTTCATAAAAGGAGCTGTGGTGATTCTTACCTTTTTAGTAGTTGAATTGGAATCATTTTCAACATGGCCTTGGAAAACACAGTGTGCTTTATAGATTATTGACAAATCTTTCAATGTCTTTATAAAGATCTTCTTAGTTTTCCAAGAATTTCTCTACAAATAATTATTCATTTAACCAAAAACTAAACTTTATCTTATGAGATGATTTTTCTCTTTTTTAAACATTTAAACTGCTAATGTATATTATACTAATAGATTTCAGAATTTGGATCATGCTTACACTCATCCTTTTTTATACTGTTGAATAAAATTTGTCAATTTTAAACTTTAATTTCATAAGTACGGTTAGTATAAATTCTCACTCTGCCTTTTTGTGAGTGTGTACCTGTGTGTACTTCGTGTGTATACTTTGTGATCTAATTTTGACACCGAGATTCTAACTTTATAGGTTTATAAGCTTGGGAATCTGGAAAGATTTCATTTGACTAAAGAAGGTGGGAAGGGGTATTTAGCTTTATTTAAAAAGCCTTTGTCTGTTCATTAAAGTAGATATCTCAAAAGTTGGAACGATGTTTTTCATGAAATAAAGGAGTGGATCCCTGTTTTGAATGTAAAACATGGCTCATTTTTACTTTTCAAAGTCAAACCACAAGCAAAATAAAGTTGCCAGCTGCCGATCAATATGACAGCAAGTTCTAGGAACCAAAGGGAAAGAAAGATAAGAGAAGTCATGGAAATGCTTCTAAAGGTCTCTGTATACCCATTGTGCCTGACTACGTCCTGAGATAGACGAGCTGCCTTTATCTGCAGTGATCCTGGCGGAAATAGAGTCCACAGAACTTTCCTACATGAACCCTATATTTATATATTTTCAAACGTATTTTTAGTGTTGTGTACAAATGACCTTTGGAAAAAGTAAATACCATGAAAGTGAGATTCCCATGACGGCGATTGGGCAACATGCAAGCATTTGTTTGTTTGTTTTTTTTTTCTTCATTCCTTTTAAACATTTCTGCTTTTTTTTCCAGAGACAGAGAAAGATTTTTTTTCTATTGCATGTGTTTACATGATGTACATTGAACGATTCTTCCAATCCATGGTTCTTCCGCAGGAGCTCTAGTGCAGATACCTAGAATGAACTCCATGGCTCGCCACGTGCTGTACTCCATATATGAAATATCTAGGACTTATCTAGGGAAGCATACTTCTTTCCCCCTAAAAGCATAGCCCAAAATATTCAGCGACTTATCTTCTACGAACCACGGAAAATGTGCACCCCTTCCGGGTTTCCTGTTGATAATATTGTCCCCGTTTGCAGCACAATGTCTCATTCCTCTGGAAAGCTGGTACCTAACAAAACAAAACCAAAACCAAAAACTCTTAAACTACAAAATTTTGCCTTGATGCTGATCACCCAAGGTGCATTCCTGGTATAAGTTGGCAGGGGGGGGTTGTTGTTGGAGGGTATGTTCTCTGTACCAGCAATGGAAAATAGCACTTTTGCACATTCATCTAAGACCAGCCTTAATACCATGCATCCAGGAAAACCTCTGGGCAGAAGACATCTCGATGTGACTGAGATGTTTGAAGAACCTGATATCTGTCTGCTATTGTCTCCAAGTTCAGCCTTTTACCAGACTAAGAAATATTCTGTCTTTTCATCTGTCCATCCAGATACAGAATTCCCCTAGCTGCAAAACTGGCTGTGTTCCCCCTGAAGAAAAAGTTCATTTTCAAATCATTTTCCTGAAATCAGAAAAGAACAGTGCTATAGTTGGCTGTGTTCACTGATGCCTGTTTGAGCCACCATGAACTTGAAACGCAATATCAACAGCATGGCTCCCACCAACCAGTCTTCTTTTGAGTCTGGGAAGCTACATTCTGAGTTCTGACTGGGAACGCTTGAAGCCCACATCTCCCTGGACCCTCCTTACTGTAGCTTTTTGGGAGCTGGCTAGTAGAAGAAAGCGAGAAAAGCAGAGGGAGTAGTGTAGGAAATCCATGTAGATACTTCCGGGAGACTGGTTAATAACGGAGGGCAGAAGAAGGAATGCCCCGTGTGGACCAGCTGCTTCCCGAGTGCTCTCAATGAAGCACAAAGGGCTCTTTTCTAAGTAGAGGTAGCTTCTACATCCCATCTTCATGAACAGAGAAGGCTTTTCAGTAAGACTGTGTGCGTCGATTAAGCTTCTGGATTCGTAATTAGCCAGGGAAAATATTTAAAGCTTCCTGGTCAATGATGAGACAGTGTCTAAACACATACCAATAATGAAACATGGATTTTGTGCTCAGCCCCAGGCCTGACAAACAGTTAAGTATTCCAACTTTTAAAAAACTAAGCACCGACTGACTGAATTCCAAAACTACAAGACCACAATTGGATGCACGTGTGGGCCAGTGACCTGCATTGTAGCTCAGCAGCTTTGAAGACTGACTCTCCCCAAGAACACAGGCTTTCCAGAACTCACTAGAACATCTGCATCACCTGGGAGGGCCCATGTGCCCGGCTACGCCTGCCCCAAAGCAGGTGTTGGTCTCGCCATGCACGTTCATTGCTAGTACAGTCTCCCCACTGCCAAGACTGAGGAATGAAAGGAAGTTGGGGTGTTAATGGGGAAAACCAGAAGAGCTGTGTAAACCCCGTGATCCCATCTGGCCACGCTGCTCACCCTGCCTTTCTGCTGGCCCACATTATCTACTAAAAAGACTGATACATTTTATTTATATTTTTTGTCAGTTGGTTTTCATAACACAGGCATATTCTTGGCTAGAACTTAGCCTGGACAGCAGACCTGAGTCTTATCCGCCTCGGGTTTTCAACTCGCAGAATGATTTAAATTTATTTTGCAACGTAGCTACTTTGAAAAGAAATATGCAATTAAGGCTTCCCCAACTGAAACGGCTCCCCCACACCACCCCCAACCTCATCCCCATAAGTACAACTAACTGTCCACTTCTTGTTTGGTGAACTGTACTTTCTTCTTAAAGCTCTATTTGTGTTCTACAAGACAGCCTCTTTCTCCAAGATTAACGTTTCTTATGATTGTTCCTGACAATGGATTCACTTCCAGGAGGCCCTGCTTAGGATAACCAAAAAAGGGCATGGAGCAGGCTGGTTTTGGCAGCCTGCTCGGAGTTTCAAGCTTTTTAGGACTTGGTTTTTCTGATGAGTGATGTCCTGAGCATGCCTAGGGAATGACAGGCATCTGCACGGGCAGACAGCATCACCTTGGCCGGGGTGTCGTCATTGGCTGCCTATTAGAAAACTACAGGACAATGCATACCACCGCCTGCTGACTGTAAACATAGGGGATGTGTGTTCACTTAGCAAGGACTTCTGGGAGGGGCCAAGGAAGGGCGGTCTGCAGTTTTATTGAATAGAGCAGTGTGCTTTAGGCGGCCTGCCTGCCTGCCTGCTTGCTCTCTCGTTGTGTTGCTTAAAGGGACCTCAGCTTCCTTCCCGACGGCGCGAGCGACGCGACGGTCCTCCTCCTGGGGAAGAAGCTGCTGCCTGAGAGGTAGGACACTGGGTCTTTCTTTTTCCGCCTTCAGAGAAGCAGGAGTCGCTCCGCGGGTTTCAGGCAACATTCCAGGCAGAGGCTGCTGGATATGCAAAATCTTTCGAGGCAGGCTAGGGACTCTGTAAATTCCCAAAGCCAGCCTGGACTTCCCTGACCTGCGGATGTTCCCGGAAGGTCAATGTGATGAATCTTCAAGTTTTGTTTCTAGAAACGGGGCAAGAGGAAAGACCGCACAGTGGCATGTTCAGGGAGCATGGGCTACTTCGCCTAGGATGCGATTCTGTTTTCAAGAGGGGCATGAATTGTTTACCTGGTATTCTCAGTGCCAGCCGGTGGGCTCGGCTGCTCTGTGCCTCAGGCAGTTTCTTCTCCATCTTCTGCTAGCAGACGTTTAAATAGGTTTCAGGTTTCGCTTAAAATCTAACAGCCACAATTTTTTTTTAGATCGTTAAGATAAAGAGTGATTTTTTCCCCCCTAGCTAAATATATTTCTGTTACTCTGCTACCAGGACTTTAGAATTGGGATTTCAGAGATGCAAAGAAATAAGATCAGCGTTCTGCCATGGGCACCAACTGGCCCACTGTCAGTCATCTGCCCAGGCGGAAGATGACTACCTAGTCTGTCTTCTATAAAACCGGGCAGCAAGGGAATGTAACGCCTGAGTGGGTGCGTGTGTAGAAACCACGGTCAACTTCCTTCCGAAATATTTCTCGGGAACCCTTCATTTCTGTTGGAAAGTATGCCTAGAGGGCCAAAAAAATATATAAGTGGGAGAGAATGTTCCAGAAAGGAAGAAGAGGGGCTTTTATTTCCAGACAGACGTATTTGGGCATCCCAAACAGTAGTGCAAGTTGGTATTAGTCGGTAACTCCTTTTAGAAAGAGCTGATTGTAAAGGGCGGGGGAGTTTCAGTGCTCTGGCAATACATGGTCAAAAAGGCAGAGGAGAACAAAGTGCTTGGTATTCACAGAGCCCTTCTGGTAATAAGGCCGCGCGTGTGGAATTGAAAACGGAAATAGTGCGGCCCCTTAGAGTTAGGCAAAACCAGACGTGCGTGGCTAGAACTTACTGACGACAAGGGGCCCTGCAAAAGGAAGAAGTCTGATCATTGAAAAAATAACATTCATATTAAGGACTAGAGTCCCAGACGACTGCTAAGCCATAGACTAGGACGGATTGGGCTCTAGACTCACCGAGCAGTGCTTGAGTTTACACGTATTGGGGTGATTTCTTGAGAAGTGATAGATAAGAACAGAGTGCCCTGTGCATTTTCTTTCCATGGAACAGCTGTGGGTAAGAGTGAGAAAGGGTACAAGCCGACTCTATTCGACTATTGTCCTTCCCTGGGGGACATCAAATTCCAAACTTCTCACAGGGTTTTTAATGTCAATCAAATCATGAAGAGCAATTTCTTTTTCTCAAATGTTCTCTAAACCATGTAGGGAATGCAGTTTTGAAGACAATCTATAATCTTGGATTGGGGAATAAATTCCATTTTGAAACCAGCAGCCCTCCGCCTCCCGGAATCCCCCAAAGTGTAGTTTCTCTATGGTCAGTTTTCCCATCCCCCTCGTGTGCTCCCCACACCCCATCACTACAAAAACACATTTTCTAAAATCACACTGCATGTGTTCTCTCCACACAGAGAGAGGGATTTTTAGTTCATGGCAAACTTTAGGCAGCTCCTGGTGCTATTTCCTTCCTGTGGAGAGTGAGCTGGGATACATTTCCCCAAATAGGGAGGTAAATAAAGCTCAACGAAGCCACAGGCTGGAAACTTCGCTTCTATTAAAATCATTTAATGAAAAACATAAAGGCAAAGTTCTGGCTAAGAAAAAAAATCCCAGAAAAGAATAGATCTCAGGGCACATAAAGAATGTACTTGACTGGTTTACAAGTGAAGTGTGGTGTTGTTTCCATTTCTGAAAGTGAATAGAATGTGGAGTTTAAAACATTCAAATCAAAAGATTGCCCTAAGCATGCAATTTTTGGATCAGAGAGAGAAGATCCAGGCTCCCGTTTCAGATTCAAGGATTTAAAAGCGATGTGTGAATGTATTCCTGACAATAGGCTAGTCACCGTTTTCACTGGTTTCTGTGACTGGTCCCAGTCCCTTCCTGTTCTCTGCAGGTAGATAGTTTGGTTTGGAAGTGTATCATAGAAAGTTCCAGAGTCTGGCTCAGGTATTCTCTGTTCTATAGACCTTTTCTTAAAAATACATACAGTTGTGGCCATCTGTCTTTCACGATAGCATGGCTACTGGTTAGTCATTCTTCAGTGAGACAAGAAGTGACTTAGGGATGGACACGAGAAGGGTTCGGCCAGCGCCCCATCTGCCCGGTTGTCTGTCACATGGCTTGGCAATGTGGTGGACTGAGGCCATGGTCGGGAGGTGGGGGTGGGGAAAATGCTGACCAAGTAGAATGCAAATAGCATGGTAGGACTGGGGAGGAGGTTAGGGAGATCCTGCCAACAGGGTTTTCAAGCATTAAGAAGGCGTTCTCCAGGCAAATCTCAGAATGCCCAAAAATAGCTCCCAGAGCTTCTTAATGGAAAGTCCTTCATCTGTTAAGCCAATCTAGACGCACACAGGCTCTGAGGAGCTGGCTATTTTAAAGAGATACTCTCAGCTCGGGCTTAACTCAAGAGCTACAAGATCAGGGCTTGCTTCTGGTTTTGCTTCCTTCGCTTCAATACTCCTGACCTTTGAGAAAGGAAATCAACTCTTCGGCCTCACCTGGCATGGCCGTCAGCATAGCTCTCATCCATCCTGTAGGGGTTAAGATGTCCAGATGGGATGAGAGATTTTGTCTCCCTTCCCTAGAGGCACACGGAGGCTAAGTTTGAATCTTCAGGGTATCATGCTAGCTCTGAGTGGTAGTCACCATTTCCTATCTCCTTCCCCTGAAGATCTCTCCTCCTTTCTTCTGTCTGAGAAAGCTTGTGTGGCGCTTTCTAGGGCCCTGATCCTAGAGCTTTAAGAAATGGGTCCTTCCCAACGTTATCTGAAATTTGGCTTTAAGGATCAGAGACCCAGAGCAGAGGGATAGACAATAGGAGGCAGAACAAGGTAGGCTGGCTATGGCGCACAACAGCATCTAGGAACCAAGAAATGCGAGGAGCCAGGTGAACAGCCCAATGACAAAGTGCTGACAACAGACAGGCCTTAGTAAATGAGGTGGCTTCTCTGCCTCCAGCCAAAAAGGATGGAATTAATCCCAGCTTGTCATGCCTGGGCCTTGTAGGCAGGATGAGGTAACCAGCAGCACCTGGCTGGGGTTCCTGCCCTTATTGAGACCAGATTGCTCTAGGAGCTATGCCTCTCACCTCTGGTGGCTTCACTAAACAGTGTTCCCCACTTTAACTAAAGCCTGGTGCTACCCTCTCACCCTTACCCCTTAGATGCTCAACTGACCAGCTCCCCCATCTCCTAGTTAGACTTGAACGTTCCTGCATTTCCAGACTTGGAAGTCAACAGGAGCTTAGCTGTGGAAGGGGACCCAGGCAAGTGTCAAACATGGAGAGTCCTGGATAGGGCATAGCCAGTTGTCTACAAGCCAACAAGTTGTCTACAAGGGAGAGAAAAATTTAGCTAACTTCAGATAGTGTCTGTTGCCAGCTAATCTAGTCTGCTTAGGAACCAACTTATAAACCTGCTTCAGCTTCTCAAATGAGTGCTGGATTGGAGATGTGGCCTCCATACCCAGCTCAGGGGTGCTGGGGTTGGAGAGCTGAGCCCCCATACCCAGCTCAGGGGTATCTTTGTTGTTTTGAAGGTCTGGTGGGAGGAAATGGGTGTGAATATGCAGATATGTAGAAGTGTGTCTCATCCAGCCTCCATTCCAAAGCAAGGGAGAGCCAGATTCAGGGAAGAAGTGCTTTTCAACAGGAAGTCTGTCGGGGTTAAAGAAATTTAGAAATAGCTCCTTGCGAGTGTATCCCAAGAATGCATCAAGAAATTAATAACAGTATTGCTAAGGGGCAGTGAGGAGCGGTTGGACTTTTAAAAAAAATATTTTAAGCAAATTGGGTGTTCTTTGCAAGTGCTCACCTTCATGTGTGTTTTTGCTATGTATATGTATACATATATTAACATACATATGCATATATGTGTATGTCTATACTCAGTGTGCATACACAGCAATGACGATAGTTTGATGACTGTTTGCTTCCTGTTTCCTGAGGCTTTGGCATTGTGTCGCGAACATGCGGATGAAAGCCCTTGACCACCAGGAAATCATTTCGCTCGGACAGGAACATATTAAGTAGGAGTACATAATTAGTTCCTTTTAAGCCCACACGGGACATTCCCTCTCCTGTCCCCCAAGACATTTTGCTAGGGAGCTAGATAGACCTCACCTATGGGTCAAAGACTGGCAGGACCCAGATTAAGTAGCAACAGGCTCAAGGGCCAGTTGTATCAGAGCTGGAATCCAGAGTGCCAGTCTTGGCCAGAATGGATAAAGAATTCAAAATAAGCTATGTTATGACTTACAGCTGGGAGAGTATAGAAGAAATAGTAACAGCCAGAAGTCACACAGATTTTTCCAAACCAGGATCTCACTCACTCACTCAGTAAGGCAGGACCCTGAGAGGTACAACCGTCTCAGAATCAAGGACCAGGGGGTCCTTCTGTTTCTAAGCTTCAGGGGCTCCAGCAAAGGGGTAGGGGTATAAAGTACAGATGGAATAATAAAGGGGTGGGGGATCCAGAAGCCAAACAGGGTGCAATCCACAGGGGATGGGGTTAAGACCCAGGAAGGTCAGGGAAGCCGGCAGAGAACTATGGCTCTCAAGGCTGTGTTTGCATGGTGTAAACCCAGCTACTCTGGGCAGCTGTTCCACCACCTGGAAAATTCCTTGTGTGCTTCAGGCAATTCCTTGTGTGCTTCAGGTCAGATCCTGAGAGAGGACATTCGATTGGTTCAGGTCCCTTAGCAGAGCAGATGTCCAAGGCTCTGCCGGATCTCAGTGTGTTATTCAGTGGGTCTGGCAG